ACAAACCGTGCGTGAGTAGACGTTAAATCTTACCAGTAACGAGCAACAAAATGTTCAAAGTAATTTTCTCCAGGACCGGTGCTTTATACGGGCAAGCTGGAAGTCAAGTTGTTAACATGCACTTACAACTCTCAAGTTACGGCAAAGTTCGCGCACCGGCAATAACAAAATAGCAAGAAGAGAAAGAAGCGCTAAAAATGTTTCCTTGGAAGAAGGCATTTATTGAGAAATATATACGCGTTTTTGGAGTATTTTCCGGGAGCAACCACTGACAGGACACGTTCTGCATACGTAATAACCACTGTTACATTAGTAATTCTAAATTAACTTGCATGACCAGTTGGATTCAGCCACGTCTAAACAGTTTTTCACTTAATAATAAATTCTGGGGACTTTTGAAGGAAATTAATCATGTTCGACTCAGGTACTTCCAACGGACTGAACAGAAAACCTACTTAAGACGCGTGAGGTTTAATATAATCCTGATGATAGGACTTTAGGTGAAATTGTGTTCTAACATCACAAAGTTTTTATGTAAAATATTCTCCTCCAGTTTCAATCAAGAAGGGCACATAAAATTATACCGTTTTGTACAGTTTTCAATATTTATGAAAGATCCCGATTTCAATTATTTCCGTCAGCTCTTATGGTTTAGTTTCCAGAAAACGGAGTTGCATAAAACTTCTCAAGTAACACAAACTCACAATAACTTTCAAATATTTTTATTGTAGGATTAAGGCGTATAGAAAATCGCAAATTAGCAGCAATAGTTAAAATTCAAAAACGGTACAAGACGTACCTATACATATTGTATTCACATCATACAAAGACACTGACATAGAAATATATATCTTTGAGTTTCAAACTACTACGTAATGCTTTTTCTTAACAACCGTTACTGTAAAAACGTTGTTGTTTTCAGTAGCAGCTTTCATACGTAACCGTTATTTCATTTATTCAATGTTGTAAGGATGAAAAACGACTGTTAATTAAACTTTAAACTATAGTAACATAAAACATGCCGACAAGAAAAATTCAATTTTGTTTTCCGTAGCAAAGGCACTGGATTAGTGTTTTTCTGTTGACATTGCTTAGCTATTTTTATTAATTTGATATACACATAATATTTCTGTACAATATGTCTGGTCCGAGTCGGAAGAACCCACTGTCTCTGTACGAAGTACTTATTGACTGTCCGACTCAGAAATACGCACTGTGTTTGTAAGAAGTTTCTGTTGACTGTCCAACTCAGAAGTACACACTGTGTTTGTAAGAAGTTTCTGTTGACTGTCCACGTCGGAAGTACCCACTATGTCTATACGAAGTGACTCTTGACTGTCCATCTCAGAAGTATCCAATGTGTCTGTACGAAGTGCCGGTTGACTGTCCGAGTCGGATGTACCCACTGTGTCTGTACAAAGTGCCTCTTGACTGTCCAAGCTAGAAGTATCTACTGTGTCTGTAAGAAGTTTCTGTTGACAGTCAGAGTTGATACTAAAAGCCGTTCTCTTTTACTGGTATCTTCTTTTGGTATAGAGGATATATCATGACCTGAAGAATGTCGGAGCATATCTGAACCATTATTTGACAAATGTCTGTGTTTATGTCCATTTATAACGTAACCCCCCCCCCCCGTCATAAAGTAACATAGAGGGTCGGAGTTTGGACCCAACTCTCTTATGTCACCTTCCGAGGTCCATAGTATGCGTTGATCGGGTACGTCCGCTAGTAATGTGTAATGTACACAATGTTCAAAATAAACATTAAACATTATAAAACCTTACCACATTCTACACACTGCTGTTGGGATATCATATACACGCAGTGTGTAGAACGTTTCTGTTTTCTATTACGTGAGATAACGATTTTGTAAAATATGGTAAAATGAGAGATGGAAAATTCTTACATTACAGCGTCATTCCAAAACATTGCGATGTGAAGGAAAATGTTTTTCACCGTTTGTTTCAGCAAGTCTTAAACACAGAATCTAACTAACTGCTTCAAAAAAATAAATAAAAATGGTTGGATTACATTTGCTATCGGCCCGGCATGGCCAACTGGTTAGGGCGCTCGTCTCGCAATCTGA